GATCTCTGATATCAGATGGAGCTTGGCCATTTAAGGCTTTATATGTGAGAAGGAGGATTTTAAATTCTATTCTGGATTTAACAGGACAACTTTGTCCCTTTCTCCCTCTATTTATTTTGTACTTTTACATTTTTTCTTTATGGGAATTTATCTTTTGAAACATAAGCATCAGTTGTTTAATAAATGTAGCTAAAGCTGTAGAGCCGTGCTGAGTGGCTTTATGAAGAGTTGGCCATAGGGTGTCAGAACTCAAAGGCTTATTTGGCGTCCTAAGAGGCTCTGGAGGTTCAGCAGCTCTATGGACAGCAAACAATAAGCAATTGTAGAGCATGTAGAAGACCAATGCAACTGTTGTGACTGTGATTAACCCTCACTGAGGGAGGGAGGTCCTGTAAGAGGCTTTCACCGCAGACCTTATGACACTACACAGAGAGGTGATGAAGACATCCAGCCCACCCTGGATACTTAAAAGACTGACCCCTAACAAAAGGCTGTGGCAGGGCTTCTGATGAGAAGGCGTCTCAATAAAGCCCCCTGCACACTATAGCACCGTCACCTACAGACCTTTTGTCAATGCTGATCATTTTTGGAAGGCTTCTCTTCTCACTTTATCTATTTATGTCGACAGCATATTTAGAAAACAGCCTCTGCTGAACCAAAAGCTATACAGACTAAATAAAAATGATTAGCAGTTAGATAAAGGCCGAGACATGAGCAAAGAAAAGGTGAAAGACTAATAAACTAGTAGTCACTCATCAGACCAATTAAAAGCCAGCAACAGTATTATAGCCAAACATGGAGAAAAAGTTGGGCCTCTGATTGCTTCATATTCTGTTGCAGATTTCTGATTTGCACTCAGAACGTTCCAGATCTTTGGTGCAGTGAATGAAAGGCCCTGTTCCCTTTGTTTATCAACCTGCATCTGAGTACACGTGGAAACTGTTGGTCTGAGATCTCAAAGCTCTGCTTGGTGTGAGTGTTCAGAAAATCAGCAACTCGGTGCAGAAATTAGCCACAGTTCCTTCAACTGCAGAGGTGTCAAGTAATCTGGTACAAATACTTTGGTTATCTATACTTTACTGGAGTCGTTTTTTTCTAAAATATTCTCATTAGTTTTGTTTCATTTAAGCTCATTTTCATTATGGCCGGTTGGTATTTTTTTAAAAAAAACATCAAAATAATTAGTTTCATCCAGACAATTAATTTCTTTGTGCTTGGACTTGGTGCTGCCCCAACTTGTTGCTCATCAAATAACAAAATAAACAGTTTTTCAAGATGATGCACAGTTAAATCTGACACCATCAGTTATAAAACTAAGAAAATAAGTCTAAGGAAGTTATCATCCAGAAATGTAAAAAAAATGTTATTTTAATGGCCTAGTGCAGTATGTCTTTGTCCTTAACATTTTTCCTGCATTACGTTTACTCCTATCCTTTAAGTAGTTTTAAAAATTGTACTTTTATACTTCTACTGGAGTAAAAAGCTGAAGTTGGTCCTCTAACTTCTATAAAACAGTACGATTTATACTTCTACTGGAATAATAAACATGAATACTTTTGACATCTCTGGTATTTTATTAACATGATCTTTCTACTTTAAAGGCAGATTCAACTCTGAGATCATACAGCCAATCAAGCAACAGGATAGCATATGTAGAGTTTCTTTCTGTAGAGCAAAGCTGCAGTGAGACGTCTGGGAAATTGCCTTCATGCAATGGTTGAAATGCTGCAACAGGTCGGGAAATTAAAGACAGAGATCAGCAGTTGTTGTTCCACGGGGATCGTTGTAGGACCCTGGACAGGGCACCAGTCTATCACACAGAAACCCCTTAAAAGCCAAAGTAGCAGCAGAGAAGCCATGTATGCACAGAGAGAACAGGTAAACTTCCTACTGATATACTCCACCTAGGGATTTGAACCCAGGACCTTCTTTCTGCAAGTCAGCAACATAACAGTTGTTCCACTCTGCATTCCTGGAGAGGAATGAATCCAGTGGAATATAAATACAGTGGGGCAAAAAAGTATTTAGTCAGCCACCAATAGTGCAAGTTCTCCCACTTAAAAAGATGAGAGAGGCC